GAAGTTTCGTGGCATGTAACATAACTCTGGTTGACTCTTGCATAATCATGTTCTTCCTTTCTACCACCCCATTTTGTTGAGGTTTGATTGGGGAAGAGAACTCATGACTAATACCTTCAGAAGCACAAAATTCATAGAATTTTTAATTCTCAAACTTAGTACCATGGTCACTTTTAATTTTAACAATTCCAACCCCTTTCTCTCTTTGCAGAAGTTGACACAGATCTTTTAATACTTCAAACGTGTCAGACTTTTCTTTGATGAATTTTACCCAAGTTTATCTTGAGAAGTCATCCACACATATAAAGACATATATTTTACCTCATAGGCTTTGTACTTGCATAAGCCCCATTCCATATGTTATAGTTCAAGAAATTTTGTGGTGGTAAGATGACGAAGCTTCTTATGGGGCATCTTAGTGTGATTTCCTATTTGGAATTCTCCACACACATTTCCTTCTTCAATCTTGAGTTTAGGCAGTCCCTTTACAACATCTTATGAAACATTCTTCTTTATGATTTTAAGATTGAGGTGACCATGTTTTTGGTGCCAAAACTCGGTCTCATTAACTTTTGTCATTAGACAAGTTGATGGATCCTCTTTTTTAAGAGATATCGATAGATAACAATTATCCTTGGACCTTGATCCTTTCATAACCACAACTTGATCTTGGTTGGAAAAAAAAAATTCTAATTTTTTGAAGCTAACCTTAAGACCTTAATCACATAGATAACTTATACATATCATGTTGGTAGTTAAACCTTTCACCAACAACACATTATCAAGGCTAGGTAGACCAGAATATACTAGTTTGCCTATCCCCTTGATTATTCCTTTCTCATCATTACCAAAAGTGGCATAACTGTTAGAGTAAGGTTGTAGCTCTTCAAGATACGACTTTTCCTCTATTATGTGTCTGGAACAACCACTATCAAAATACCAATCCTCTCTAGAGTTTACTTTAAGAGAAGTAAAATCTATATGACTCGTGACTTTCTATTTGGGTTTCCATACCTTCTTAACTTGAACGTTTTCTTCTTTCCTTTTGAACCTTGTATGTCCATGGTGTTGTTGAAAACCATATAGTCTGTAACAATTTGGCCTTATGTGACCCTATTTTCCATAATTATGGCATCTTTTATTGTAGCCCTTACGATGGTGGTGTGCATGTCGAACTCGATGCTGGAACATGTGATCTTTTTTTCTTTACATGACTGTAGTCAAATCCGATGGTTACAGAGTTTCTTGGTTTCTTCTCATCTTCCATAATTCTATCTGACAAGTCTTGAGCTCTTACAAACTTTGATAACTCCTCCAGCTTGGATGTTAGAACAAAAATATCTTCATCCTAACTAGTGATTGTAGTAAAAAGATTTTGATTTTCTTGATAAAACTCCCTTACAATTTTCTTCAAGTTTTTTAATTTTTCTGCAAGCTTCTTTCCACTTGATGATCACAGACCTATCAAATTTAGATATCTCTCCCTTAGTTAAGCCTTCATCATGAAACTCACTTTCACTAATATACTTACTAGAGTAAGCTTTAGAGATGCCAGAGGTCTCTTCTTTCATCCTCAGATTTTTAATCCTTATTGATAGGAGCTTTGGCATATCAGTTTTTGATGACCTTTCATGAGCAGACTTGAGAATCTCCCTGGCTTCTTTAGCTTCTGAACATGTATTAATTAACATCAACATGTTTTTATCAACCCCTTTGAAAATAAAATTTAAAGCCTTGGAGTTTTCAAGGGCTTCATCATCTTCAACTTTGGTCCAATTAGCATCTGGTTTTAGGCTAGTTGAGCCATCTTCAGAAGTAACAACTGGATGTTTCCATCCTTTTATCACAACTTTCTAAGTTTTATTTCCCAAGGATTTGAGAAACACAACCACCATCACCTTCTAATAATCATAATTTGTTTCCTCCAAAATATACAATTTGTTGACTGATCCTTCATCATTCATTGCCTCCATTTGAGCATAACTTATCTTCCCTGGAGCTCACCCAACATGCTAGGGTGTCTGCTCTGATGCCAATTGAAATTCTGTTCTTTAGAGGATAGACATCGAATACGATGCTCCAACAACAAGTGCGCCAAGATACACCATAAATAATACACTAACTAGTAATGCATGATGGAGTATAAAAGCAATAAAGAACACAATGAAATAGTTTATCCAGTTTGGTGAAACTACACCTACGTCTAGGGGGTTGAGTCTACAACCCAAGAAAGGAAATTCATTATTAGTGTTTTAGTACAATTAGACTTACAAGCAACAACAAACCCTATATTGTTTAATTTCTCTTCCTAAAACTACCCAACGACTTTCTATTTAGAATCTCCCCCTAAATATGAGAACATACTCAGTTTCTTCTCTTCCACAATCCCAATAATAGGGGAAAACATCATCTAAACTCTAGTGATCAAATTCAGTCTTTACAAGATAAAGAATATTTAAAATTACAACTAAACTAGACAAACCTCTTATGCCAAGTTACTGAAACATAGAGGTGTACATAAACAATGTTGACTATAACTCAACTAGACAAACCATATATGCCAAGTTACTGAAACATAGAGGTGTACATAAAGATTTTACACTAATCGTATTAGGCCATTAGCGTGAATACACGACACAAAACCTAACTTCTCTAAGTTGTTTTTTTTGTTAAAATGAAACCAATTCAAAGGGGCTATCCAATAAGAACAACAAAAATAAAATGAATTTTTCGTTTCTGTAACTAGTTACAGGTTTTGTGTAATCATTACAGCTGTTTGAAAATGTTCAAATTCAGCTTGTAACACCATTGTTCCATTCCAAAATATTTTAAAACATGCATGACTAATTAGAGATGATGAATGAAATTTTTTGAGCTCATAAAGTGATGTACAAAGTATAATTGTGATTTGTACCTTTTGCTCAAGATCAATTCATCATTGTCCAAAGTTCTTGAAGAGTACTTGTATACCAAGTTTTGACACAAATGTTTTTCTTTGAAAAGTTAAGCTTTTTCCTTCTTTGATAATGCATTTAAGCTAGATTCTTTGTCTTCATCAGTATATAAAATAATGATGAAACTGTGTCTTCACATGACCGTAATTTCTTTTACCGGTTTTAGAGTTTCCACGTTATGTCTTTGTAACATAATTGTGTTTTTTATTTTCTCTATATTATTTTTTCCTAACATTTCCTTCTAAACTCGAACGTTTCTATAATGAGTAGATTTGATTCAACATTATGGTTCTTGCTTAGATTTAAAGGTCAATTTTTATAAATATTCTCAAGTATATTGTTTCTTCAACCAAGCCTCAAATATTTTGAGGGGATTTACTTATTGATTATCAAAAGGATATGTTTCGTGTTGCCGACATTCATTCAAGAGGACATTTGTAGATTATCTCGGTGTTTCGATGTTTATAAATCTATTATATATATATATATATATATATATATATATATATATATATATATATATATATATATATATATATATATATATATATATATATATATATATATATATATATATATATATATATATATATATATATATATATATATATATATATATATATATATATTCAAGAGGGCATTTGTAGATTATCTCGGTGTTTCGATGTTTATGAATCTACAACTATTTTATGCAACATCATCTAAATTTTTATGCCACACATTCTAAAACTCATCTTCATTTTTCAAAAATATAAAACATATATTTATTTTCTATCAAAGGTCATAGTTCAAACTCTAATAAAGATAATAATGTGTTATTTTCATAAATTTTAAAGAATATTCTTTATATTTGTCTTGCAATTATTTTTTCATTTAAATTAAAATAATTATGTTCTGGTTTATATATTAACTATTCCCAAATCATTAAAATAATGATATAAACTTTCACTACAATTTTTTTATTATAGTTTTATATAATAAAAAATTAAAGTTTTATTTTAATAATTTCAAAAGTTACCTAAAATAAAATATAAAATAAACAAATAAAGACATATCAACCAAATTAAACAAAAAATAAAAATAAAAAAATAAAAAATCTTTACAATATTAGTTAGATTTGTCCGACCTATCTTTCACTACACTATTTTTTAATTAATGTAATTCTGTAACATAAATAAGAAGTGATTTTCACCAACTAATGTATCTATTGAATTCTCACTACAATATTTTTTAAATATAATTCTATAAAGTAAAATAAAGTTTAACAAATAGAAAACAAAATTAATCATAAAGTAATTATACTTCAACATAAAATAAATTACAACTAATTTGTATATGGATCTCGCACAGGCATCCATTATTTTCATATCTTTAAAATTTTAATAAACTATTGATTATATCTTAAATAATTATTAAAAAATTAATTATAAAATAACTAAAATTTAACATAAAATAAATTAAAGCTAATTTCCTTATGTGCATTACGCAAGTCATAATCTAATTCTATATTAAATTTCATTATATATTAAATTGAAGACTATGGGTGAACTTTGAGAATTTTTGTCCTTGCTTTTTTTTATTCTTTTGTAACGGTGTTCAATATTCTTGTGGTGTTGTTCAATCTATGCATCATATAGACTAATGTATTAATTTTATATATGTCTTTTTTTTCTTCTTTTCATATGCTTGTCCGTTTAATAATAATAATAATATGAATTTTGAGTGATAAGTTTGTGCTTTGCTAGGGCTTGAGGACCCATCAACAAAAGGGGCGTTGGTCGGCCAAAATTTCAGGCGGTAACACATCGGAAAGGGGTGGAAAGAACGATTGTTGCACAAGTTATGGTAGAAGAAGTAATAGCTGATGATGAATACCTAATTTGAGGGAATGCTTAATCGGAAAGGGAAAGTCCAATTATGAAAATCTTCTCTCCATCGTTAGAGAGTGCACGGGAAAGGGATGAAGCACCACCGATGGTAAAGAGTGAGGTACTAAGCAAACTCTAGGTGGATGTAATACAGGGCAATCACAATTTGAATCGCGAAATGGCTGTGAATTTCGTCACTCCAACCCTTGTTAATGGTGAAATTGAGATTACGATTGAAGAATCAAATGTCATTGAGGAGTTGGAATTCTGGGAAAATGCAATGATTTTGTTTTCTCTTGAGGATACACTCTCAATGAATGTTGCGAAAAAGTTTAAGGAGATGTCTTGGAACTTTGTATCAATGCCGGACCTGTACTACAATGAGGAAGGGTATTTTATTGTGAGGTTCAGAACCTGTGAAGATAAAGAAAATGTCGTAGCTCAAGGCCCTTACTTCATCTATGGTAAGCCATTGTTTCTGAGGCAATGGACAACTGAGTTTAAAATAAAGGATGCCTTCTAAGGGTGCTACCTCTATGGATAACAATACCAAACCTGCCCCTACATTTGTGGGGAGAGAAAAGCATCTCAAAATTTTCCAGTGCTATCGGAAATCCAATCACAACGGATGAGTGTACGGCGAAAAAACTGCGTATCTCATATGCAAGAGTGTTAGTTGAAGTAGATATAACTCAAAAACCAAAGGAAATGGTGTGTATTAAAGACCACAATGGGAAATTGTCGGAGCAAAGGATTGAATATGAGTGGAGGACAAAGTTCTGCCAAACTTGCCTCAAGATTAGACACAATTGTGATCTAAAGAAACATAGTGGGAAGAAAATTCAACCTGATATGATTTGGAAACCAGTAGCTAGCAAGAATACTAAAACTCAACTTGAAGGAGAAGTAAGCAAAAATAGTATTGAGGAAGAATTAAGTAAAGTAAAAAGAGGGGATCTTGAACTAGAGAACAATGCCATGGATACCTGGACAACTGTGACATCAGGAAGAATGGATAAAGGAAAAAAAGCAATGATTCAAACACTCAAGAGCTCCTTTGTTGCGTACCAAAAGTCATTTACTCCCTTAAGGATTGGAGAAGGTTCTATGGGAGACAACAACTTTGATCAATGATTGTGACTTGGAACATTAGGGGCATCAATAAAGAGGCAAGGCATCGTGAAATGAGCTCCTACATCTCTACTTTTAATGTTCCAATAATTACTTTGCTTGAAACTAGAGTTAAGAGGCAAAATTCTGAGAAAATTAGAAGGAAAATTGGTAACAATTGGATGTATATAGAAAACTATGATCATCACCCAAATGGGAGGATATGGTTGCTCTGGAAACAAAAAGAGGTTGAAATTAAAATGGTCCACTCAAATGATCAATATATCCATGTGGAAGTCTATGGGTTGGACAAAATTTTACAATATGTGATAACAATGATTTATGCTTATAACCAAATTGAAAAGAGAAAAATCCTTTGGAAAGAGATAGGGAATTTGGGACAAAATATGAGCACCCCTTGGATTGTTATGGGGGATTTTAACAATGTCTTGACTAGCCAAGGCAGAATTGGTGGCAATGATGTTACAGACGTAGAGTTTAGGGATCTAGCTACTATGATGCTGAATATAGGTCTGTTTGAAGCTAACACAAGAGGTAGTCATTTTACTTGGACAAACAAACATACTAGAGGAGTGATATACTCTAGAATTGATAGAGTTATTGGTAATGATGAGTCATTTCAGAAGTTCCAAGACACAAATATAGTAAATATAGCCTCTAATATTTTAGATCATCATCCTGTGAAAATTGGTTGTAATGTGTATAAGGCCAAGAACAAAAGTGTGTTTAAATTTCTTAACTGTCTGGTTCAGGAGCCTTCATTTTTGTAAGTGGTGACTACTATTTGGAAACAAGAGACATATGGTATGCCTATGTATAGGTTGTGGCTCAAGCTAAAATGGTTGCAACCTATTCTTAAGCAGATGAACAGAAATTGCTCTAATACTCAGCTTCAAATTAAGCATGCCATAGATGAGTTGCATAAAGCCCAAGATCAACTGCATAATAACTTGTGTAATGAGCAACACATTGAACATGTTAAGCACTGTACGGAGAAAATTATGCAACTTAACCAGGTGGAGAAAAACATATTGATGCAGAAGGTAAAAATCAATTGGCTGTAACTTGGAGATAATAATAACGCTTTCTTCCATGCCTCGGTGAAGGATAAAAATAAGAAAAAGGTCATATACACTCTAGTTTCCCTTGAAGGAGAATTTCTTAGTAGTCAAGCTAAAATTGAACATGAAATATTGGGATTCTATCATAAGCTGGTGGGAACTAATGAGCTGAGAGGGATTGATATTCCTACGATGAGACAGGGAAAAGGCTTATCAAGAGAGTAAGCACAACAACTAATAAAGCCTATTGAAGACAAAGAAATTTGGAATGCCCTAAGTAGCATTGGGAATAATAAAGCTTCTGGAATGGATGGATTCAATGCTTATTTCTTCAAATCAACATGGCAGATAGTGAAGTACGATGTAAAGGCAGCTGTTTTGGAATTCTTTGAAACAAACAATCTTTATTAAGCTATCAACTACTTCTTAGTGACCTTGATTCCAAAATCTTCTGAGGCAAAAACTATAAGAGACATGCGACCTATATCCTACTGTAGTACAATTTACAAAATAATATCTAAGATTCTTACAGCAAAACTTGGAAGGGTGATCAATAGTATTGTTGAAGATAATCAATCTGCATTTGTTTCCGGCAAAAATATCCAAGACAACATCATGTTAGCTCAGGAACTGGTGCGTGGCTATAACAGAAAAAATGTTTCCCTTAGATGTATAATCCAACTTGATATTCAGAAAGCGTATCACACGGTTGAATGGAAAACCCTGCCTCAAATTATGATAGAAATGGGATTTCCAAACATGTTTACCAATTGGATAATAGCCTGTGTATCTACTGTCTCTTATAGGTTCTCTCTAAATGGAGTCCCTACAGGTATCTTGAAAGCTAAGAGAGGGTTGAGACAAGGAGACCTTATCTCTCCCCTCCTCTTTGTGTTGATTATGGAATACCTCGACAGGTTCCTTCAAGGGTTGCACTTGAATCCTGACTTCAACTTTCACCCCAAGTGTGAAAAACTTAGGATCATCAATCTTTGTTTTGCAGATGATATCTTAGTTTTTGCATGTGGAGACGTTGAATATGTGAAACTCTCTATGGATAAATTTAGGATTTTTGCTAATACAACTGGGCTGAAAAATAGTAATCGAAAGAGTAAATTATTCTTGGTAGTGTGGACATGGATACTCAAATAATTATGCAGCGGGTAACAGGTTATGAAATGGGAATCCTTCCTTTTAAATACCTTGGAGTTCCTCTTCATATCAAGAAACTTTCGATAGCTAGCTGCCAACCTCTAATAGAAAAAATGCTGAAGAGAATTAACATTGGAGTACCAGGTTGCTGTCGTATGCTGGCAGATCACAATTAATTAAAAGTGTGATGTTTGCAATATCTAACTATTGGATGCAAATATTTCCATTACCTAAGAAGATCATTAGAAACATTGAAGGATTATGCATAAGATTCCTTGGGACAGGCAAGGAGAGTGATAGCAAAAAAGCTCCAATTTCATGGGACCATGTTTGTGATCCTGTGGCAGCAGGTGGAAGAAACATGATTTCTCTAATTGAGTGGAATAAAGCTACGATTGGAAAATTGCTTTAGAACATTTGGGAGAAAAAAGATAAGCTATGGATCAAATGGTTGCATGCTTACTATTTGAAATAGGTGGACCTAAGAAACTATCAACCAGCAACCCACGACTCGTGGATTTTGAAGGCCATATTCAAGAATCAAGATGTTATGCTCAACTCTGAAACTTAGAATGATTTTCAAGAAGCTGGGAGATATAGCACCAGAAAGATGTATCAGATGTTAAGAGGAACAAAATCTAAAGTGAGCATAACATCATTTGGCATGACATCAGATGGTATATGCATGTTTTGTAGCATGCAGGAGAGTCTAGATCACATATTCTTTGAATGTTATTATACAAAAGTCTTATGGGAACATGTGTTGGCTTGGATGAGAGATAACCATAACTCGGGTTGTTGGATTATGGAGCAAGGGTGGATCACTCAACAAACTAAAGGAAAGAACAATAGGAGCAAGATAATAAAAATGTTGGTTGCTGAATCAGTTTACCATGTGTGGATTGTGAGGAACAACATCATTTTTCAGGGATGGAACAAATCGAAGCTTCAAAGCAAGATTGTTATTGATATGGTGCTGAATAGAGTGGGGATGGATAAAAAATTAGCTAGATTATGCAATAGGGCTTGATTTAAAGGTTTTCTTTCTTTTTGGTTTATCTTGTTCATTGGAGGTTTGGATTGTTTGCGGTCGACCTGTATTTTGACTGTTTTTTGGTTAATATTTTCTCTTTATTTCCAACAACAACAACAACAACAACAACAACAACAACAACAACAACAATAACAACAACAACAACAATAATAATAATAATAATAATAATAATAATAATAATAATAATAATAATAATAATAATAATAATAATAATAATAATAATAATAATAATAATAAAAATTACGCGTAAGCAAATATATTAGTAGTATAATGTAAACTCATCGATTTAACCAATAGAATATGTTGGTAATCTCACCTTTAAAATAATTAATTTTACAAACTAATATGTAAAAAAATGGATTATAAACAAACGGATTTTATTGATAAATTTTTTAATATAACTCTTTCATAGATATTTAATGAGTCATGCTTCCTTGTATTTTTATGATAGATGTTAGGAATTCCAAAAATATTAATTATGCTTTAGTAAAACAATTTTTAATTTTAAGAAAATAAAATGTATAATTTTTAATGTATGCATTATTGTGAATTGATGTCATTAAGAACAAAATAAAATATGAGAAAAATATTAAATTTCTTGAACGAACACAAGAAACTCTGTTAGGTTTTACAAAATATAGAGAAGAAGGAAGAAGAGGAATAAGAATTGTTTAAAACTGTTTTACTAATCACTTATTCAATAAGGGTTCAAAGATTACAAGTGAATACAACAATTAATCTTTCTCAACAACATGAGAGAACTAGTCTATTTATAGACTACTAAGTTAACTTAAACTACAAATTAACTTAACAATTGAGCGTACAAGCAAGACCTAATTCGACATGCTAATTTAAACACAAAGCTAACATATTTTGACAATATGTTTGAACAAACTTTGACTCTAGCACGCACAACTCCTGTCGAACCATGAAACTACCCTTGTCGACATTAGAGTTCGATCTAAAATACCATAAATCTCCACATTGGAACAAACTCTACGCTAACAAGGGATCAAACTAGTTTTCATCATGTAGTTTTATCAACTGCATACAGTGGAAAACTTGCTACTTGGCAATGTGAAATCAAGATTCTCAGAGATCAACTTATGTTTTGATGAAGACAAATCACTTGACAAAGAAGGCAAAGATGTTCAACCATTTCAAGACATCAAAATCAGGACAAGGACTTGACATGAAGAAATGTTTTCCTCATAAAGTATAATGAAAAATTTCATCAAGTTTTTAAGTCCTGATTGCTCAAAACATTAAAAATCTTTTACATTACTATTCACACTAACACAAGCTTTTAAAAACAGATTTTTTCTAAGTTTTTGTAAGTGAAATCAATTGTACTCTTAGATCAATCGATTGCATGATCAAAATTTTAATTCTTTTTGCTTCTGTTTCAGTAAGCAATCCATTGGTGCTTTGGTGCAATCGATTGCATGCTTAAAAATCTTTTTATTTTCGCTTCTGTTTCAGTGTGCAATCGATTGGTCTATTTGGTGCAATCGATTGCTCTGCTGAAAATTTGAAATTTCAAGTGTTTTTGTGAAGGTGCAATCGATTGGTCTATATGTGCAATCGATTGCTCACTGAATATTTTTGAAAAATCATTCTGAAAAATTGTATCTCTTCAACCAATCTTCCATGAAATATTTCCATTGAAACATGACAATTGTTCATCAATTTTTCTAGAGATTTGCATGATATCTCAATAGGTGCTTGTGTAATAT